TCATTTTGGATGAGAGAAGAGACTCCCAGAAAGGGAATGAAACTGGGAGGAGGTCCAAAGGGTAAGTGGCTGAACTGAGATTTCAACCAGGGCCTCAGGATGCCCAGTGGGCGCTCCTCTCCTCTCTTCTGGCTTTGCCTTAAATGTGGGGAGCTCCCAGGGAAACAACAGAGGCCCTGAGGTAAGTCATGCTCCCCTTGGCTCCCCCAGGAGACAATAGGCTACCCCTTCCTTTTGGAGGAGGCCCCATGGCTGGTGGATGCTTTGGAGGAGCTGTTTTCTTTCTGAAGAGCTCAGCCTCAGCAGCTGTCAAGTCTTCTGACCTGAATGTTCCTCCGAACATCACTGAGGCTGACAGGAACCCAGTGGCCACAGAGGCCCCCAGAGAACCCTTGCAGAGCACCATCCAGGTGGTGACCTGGTGCTTCCGGGTCATCTTTGCCACCAGGTGGTGTCCTGTGGCCCAGGGGATTGTTAAGAAGTCTGTCCCTCATATGGCTTGTGTCTAGATGTCCCCCCAAAGCCTCACACGAACATTGGTGAGGATCTTTCAGAGGTGGATCTAGAGTGTGTGATGCTGAGATTGATTCATGGTGCAATACTAGCATCAAAAACATTAGGACTAAGGGCATGAGCGCTACCCACCCTCAGTACTTTGGAAAAGATATAAGGGACAGAAAGAGCTGTGGTCATCCCTTATTGCTACCTTCTGCCTGCCATGAGCTGTTTCCACTTTGTAGTGCCCCTCTGCCATGCCAATATGGACTGAAACCACAAGGAATATGTCATGAACTCTAGAATGGCCATAACCCCAGCCTGATCATAGCCCCCAGACGAGCAGGCTCCAGAGTGACCATCACTATGAGACGCGCTATACCTGAGCTGCGTGGAAACTCACATTTGAGAGAGGGCTCTGAGCACCGATGGTGCCACACGGACCGCTGACCCCCAACCTCAGCGACCCCTGCCTTCAGCCACTCTCTAAGATCCCACATTCAGGGTTGGGATGTGACTCTGTGGTAAAGCATCTGTCTAGCATACTTAGTCCCTGGGTTCAATTCCCCGTACCACAAAAAGAAAACACACTGCGGTATTTAAGACTCCATATTCACCTAGGTTTTAATTCCATGCCCTAGTCTCTGCAGTTTAAGTTAGGAACAGATACTCTGAAGTCAGGACAATCTGCTTTGAATCTGAGCTCTGCACTGGGCTCCCTTGTGCACTGGGGGGCCTGGGAACTTCTCTCTTGGAGCACAGATGTGCTATCCTCATCAACAGAATCTGTGCGGAAACTAAACTTGTGTTTGATGCCCCCAAGTTCTAACATGGTGTCTCATCATTCTTAGCCCAGAAACACTAAGTGTGCTCTTTCAGAAGGGCTACATAACTGTAGTGGGAGCTAGGACATGAGTGGGGGCACATGCAGATTCTCACTGCCTCCTCCGTCATGAAATTTGCTGCTGCTCAGAGCTTCAAGAGCAGGTTGCCAGCAAGGGTAGGTTGAGCCATTTCATCTTAAGGAATAGGGAATAGGAGACAGCTGTGTGGTCAGAGGCCCACACGATCCAGCAGGCACTAATCCCTCCAAGCCTCACAGCTGTCCTCCATAGTCCACCCTCCTCCTAGACCATCTACATCTCTCAGGCCCTCAACCCCATGCTGCCCTGCCCAGATCCTAACCTGAGTCAACCTTGTCTCTTCCTCCTCCCCTATTCTCTCAAATCCTGGGATTTCATGCAGAAATGCCTGGGCATGACCTTTGACTTTGACAAGATCAGCCAATGGGAAACTAAGTGAATTTTTAGCACAGGTGCTGCTGAAGTGAGTGCTTAAGTGAATTTTTATAACCTAAAGTTGTTATCAAAGTTTTAAATAGCAAAATTGAATAGTAGAATAAATTAACCTTGTTGAAGAATGTGTATGAGCTTTAATGTGGCTGACAGGACTTGGTGCTGGGCCTGGGAGGAAAGGGTGGGATGCGCCCCTCCAACAAAAGACCAGGCAAGGTGAGGCTGTAGAAGGAAGGTGGGGACCCTGCAGAGTCCCGTGGCAGTGGGGAAGGATCTGGATTTTGCTATGAGTGCCATGAAAAGGGCTTCAAGCAGAGGAGAGAGCTTCCTGGATTTTATTTAATATCCCAACCTCTGGTCACTAAGTAGGGAGTAGAGAGTAGGGGTAGGAGGGGAGCCAGTGAAAAGGCTGAAGAACAGGTCCAAAAAGTGATGCCATGGTGGGATCAGAGGAGAGCAGAGAAGAAGCAGATGGTTGAGTTCATGAGGACCTACCTGTAAGAGGTGGCTCTGACAGAGAGGAAGGAGGGAGGAGAGAGGCAGCCATGAAAGGGACCATAGTCTGCTACTTCTCTCTTAGCTTAGGGGATAGAGTGTGGGTGTTACAAAAAAAGTCAAGAGAAACTATAAACTGGATCCTTAGGAAAGGAAGGGTGGACTGTGAAGGCCTCCAGAGGCCATTCTGATATTGTATTTACTCCCCAAAGGGGAGCTCAGGAACCACCCATTGGTGGCTCTTCCAACCCTCTTCCTTCCCTTAAATGTGTTCCTGTTTATTCCTTTTACAGTCCTCAAGACAATCAAAATCTCCTCTACAGTTCCTTATCAATGTTTTCTTAGACTGCATTATTCAAGATCTGTCTTGTGGGCTAGATCAACACAGAAGGGCAGAAACCCAATCACTTTTGTCAAGAATAGAGTTCCTAGGGCCACTCAGTGAATGAATGAATGAATGAATGAATGAATGAATGAATTATGCAGTAATCAAATATTGAATCAGACAACCCTATCATTTAGCTTTCTGATAGTTTAAACCAAAGAAAACATGCAAGGAATTAGGGGAAAGTACCTTTTTAAAGACACCAGGAAGGAAAGCTGTCTTTGTTTTTTTATTGCTTTTGTGGTGCTAGAGGTTGAACTTGGGGCTTTTAGCATGTTAGGTAAGTGTTCTACCACTAAACTATTTCTCAAGCCTGAAGAAAAAGAAAAAAACCTTAATTACTCAAAACAGACTTTAGCATTTCTGCATTTCTTTAAGGCTGAAAGCTGAGTCTAAAACCTCCCCCCAGACTGGTTTCTGTGCCTCCTGGCTCTGCAAGTGGACACAGAGCTGTGTGAAGCAGCCCCGCCTGGCTCCAGAAGGGTTCTCTGGGAACTGTGTTAACCAAGAGACCTGTCAGGCACCCCTTGTCCTCAGCTCAGCTCTGCTCAGAGGCCAGGGCACTCAGTGCTTACAGCTCTGGGGTTGCCCTATACAGTCATTCATCACAGCGAGCACAGGTTGAGCGCCTGCTGTGGGACAGCCTCAGTGCTGAGTTTCTCAGAAAGCAGAATTTCATTAAATATTGTCACACTCATCTCAGAAATAGTTATTATTATTATTATTATTATTATTACCCATTTTGCAGATGGGGAGGTGGAGGGTCAGAAAAGCGAGATATCCCATCAAATCGCCCACCCAAGGTCAGTTGCAATTTGAACACATCTTGCTAACTCCAAAATTCTTGCTCCTTAATGACCTCCTGATGCTGCAGTTGACATTAATGTGGCCAAGGAGCCTTTGTACAATTCTGTTTTTTTTTTTTTGTTCTTTTTAACGTGAAGAGTCTGTTTCTTCCCCCCTTCTCTGTCCCATGGATGGGGTTTCTGAAAGCCTTGGGGTGGGGCTGCCCTGAGGGGACAGTGACATGGCCAGAATCTGGTTTTCCTTGAATGTACAGACATTGGTCTTTCCATCTAAAAAAGCCAAGGGTGGGCATGAGAGGACTGCTTTGGAAGCTTCTCTGTCCATTTTCTCGGCTGCTATTGTCCGGTACTCCATCGGCTTGAGCTGGTGCCTTGTGTTTTTGGAGACTCACACTCCCCTTGGCCACCTTCCCTTACCCAGGAAGACCCACGGGGGCAGGTGCAGCATCCCTGTGTTCCCCAATGTGTCTGTCTGTCTCTCTGCCCTGTGTGGGCAGGCCAGGAGGGCTCATGACTTGCTTTTCTGGTGAAATGTGAGCAGAGCTGACGCATCTCTCTCCCTAGCAGAGGCTTCTCAGTGCCGCATGCCCTGTGCTCTGTTCTCTTTCTACTCCAAGCTGTAAAACTTTGGTATCAAAGTCAGCCTGTGGTGGCCCCTGCAACCTGTGAGCAGAGGCAGAATGTGGTGAGCCACAGGTCCCAGAGCTGAATCACTGTATGACCTTGCGCACATCTCAGTTTCCCTATCTATGAAATTGGAGCCATCCTGGTAGGTTCCCGTGGTGCTCTCATGAGATTAAATGAGACTACACTCCAAAGTCACGGTCCAGGGTTCTGTGGGTGTTCACCAGATAGGACCTCAAGGGGCGACATTGCAGAGGCTCCCTTTAGCCCTACTCTGGGGCCTGGGATGAACCTGTTCACCCTCCTAGACCTCAGCAACTCACAGCAGGGAAACAGGGGAAGAGGAAGACGGCAACTGTGAGCCATGAGAGAGAGGAGAGCCTGGTCACCAGAGCACACAGGAGTTGGGCTCTGACAACCCCTCACAGGATGAAGAAGTGTGATCGCTTTGAACTTAGTGGCCCTGAGTCCTGGTCCTCTCCATGGGTGATGAGTGGTGGCTGGAGCCAAGGCAGGAGGAGCCAGCCAAGGTGAGCATAGGAGAAAACCACTGAGAGCTAGACTAAAGCCCTCCTACTTCTCAGCAGGCTCCTGGGATGAACCTGCCCTTTTCCAGGCATGGGCAGAGCTATCCCCAGCTGCCAGACACCCCTTGCCCAGGCACAGAGGGAAGGAAATGCCCACAACCTGGAGCATGCTTCACAGAGTCTCACCCCAGCTGCAGAGAAGGTGGAATCTTTATTGAAAATGTAACAGACTCAGCATGGATTCTGCCTGAATCCTGCAGCTCAGTCCCCAAGGTTGCCTCTCGTCCTGCAGGGGCTGGTGCATATGTCATCATTCCTCAACAAGGCAGTGGAGTGATTCTGGACTCTGAGTGGGAACAGGTGGTAAGCAGGGGCCTGTCCTGGAGGCGGAAGAGACCCAGGCCCAAGGACTGTGTGCAGGCCAGGCCTCTCCAGGGCTGGTTCTGGTTCCTTCAGACCGCATCTCTGCCTTTGTCACTCATGTGCTCAGCACCAGCAGGTCCTTAGAGGGTAGAACAGAGAGCCAGGTGAGCAGGCAGGGTGGCTCTGGCAACAACCTTGGCCAGACACCAGCCAGTGGCATGTGTGTGTTTCTGGGTAGCAGAACCCTGAGCTGTGGTGATGAATGGGTTTATGTGGGCCCCAGTACAGAGGCCCAGGGGTGAAACACTTTGCGGCTTTACCCCTCATATGCTTCATTCTCCAAATGAGAGAAAGAGGCTCTGATTTCCTCCCTCCAATCTTGAAAAAAAACCCCTTACATAGGTTTTTTAAAACTCTACAATAATGAAAGTAATGAACTATCAAAATAAATATCCGTGAGTTCATATTGATATAAGTAATTGACCCGATATAGAAGCAAAAGGAGGTCAGCTCTTCCTTACAGAAGAATTTCAACTACTAACTGTAAAAGAATTACAGGAACAGAAAGCCCCCACTATGCACACCACAGGCAAGAACGCCTGGAGTGCACCACAATGAGTGTGGGAAGAGCCGGTGAGAAGCAGGACCTGCGGGTGGTCTCCGTATGCACCTCATAAGGCTTCTATTAGTGACAAGGGGGAACATGGCCCCTTGATGGTGGAGAAACATGGCAGGAACCACCTTAAGCAAGTGACAGCAGCAAACCTGTCCAGGACTACGCCACATGGACATCATGCCCCGGATATAGTATGTGGAGAAACGCACGCACCCTACTTCTGTGATGTTCTTGCCAAAAAAAATGCAACCTCAATTAAATCATAAGGAAACATCAATCACATCTACCTTGAGGCACAAACAGGCCAGGCTTATCAGAAATGTCAAGGTCAGAAACTACAAGAAGGTGAGGAGCTGTCCAAAGGAGAGAGCTCTAGGGGGAGGTGACAACAAGATGCAAGCCGGAGCCTGTCACTAAGCTGGACACAGGCCACAGGGAGAGCTGGTGGAGCGGCGGTGTGGCTGTCACAACTGTGGGTCAGAATCTGGGCTTCAGGGCCTGCGCTCTGAATACAGAAGATGCTACCATCGGGGATACTGGGAAAAGAATGTTCAGAACAATCTGTTCTATTTTTTTCAGCTTTCCTCTACGTTTAAAAAGCATATCAAAATTAAAATAGAAAATAAAGAGCTAGATCCATACAGAAATGACAAGGCAAGCAGCCACCATTCACAGAGACTACAAGGACAGGCCCAGGGCTGAGTAGTGAAAACGTCAGACCCAAGGCCCGTCTTACATTTTTTTACAGGTGCTTAGTGGCCAACACATGGCTACCATAGATTTGTCATTTGGTTTCAGGTTGTCTAAGCCTAATACACTTGAACGATGGTGAAATGAAACTCAGAGGTTATATAACCTACTTATACAGATATATTTTAAACCAGTATGTTCTCTCACCAGACTGTTGAAGAGAAATAAAAAATCATTTACAATAAAATGATGTGTTTGAAAATACAACCCCAGAAAATTGGACTAAGTAACCCTCTCAGTGTCCCATTGTTGAGATGCACACAGATCTAGGAGGATACGCATGTGCTTCTCTAATCTTTTCTGTACTTTTCAACTTTCTGATGCTGACCATATGAGGCTTTTATAGTGGTAACAAGAGTCCCTGCATTTGAACGCCAAGGCCCCTGTCACCATCATAATGAGTCAACTACCTCAAGAATATTAACTCAGAGTCCTATGTCCCCACGGGGCTGGGGAAGCTTCCCGGGGCCAGGCCTGTACTTGATTATTTCTGTATCCCCAGTTCTTGTGGCACAGACACAGTAGGTGCTCAGCAAAAGTTCCTCCAATGGACCATGTCACACTCCCCCTTAGACAAGCCCATTACTGCTCTGAGCCTCAGTTGCCCCATCTAGAAGATGGGGACAGTGACATCTGTGGTGAGCTCTCAATTAGACCATGGATGTGAGAGCTTCCTTTCAGGATTCTTACCAACTTTGTTCCCCCTCCCTCAGTTCTGTACTTTGAAGGGAGAGGCTCCAGTCCCTCCCCTCTCTTCTTCGTAGTTGTTGATCTGACCTTTTGCAGTGACCAAAGGTGACAGCAAAGGGCAGAAGGAGATGCAGGACAGAGTTCTCTCTTTCCTTACCTCCAAGACATCGATGTCTGCATTGCTGAAGTCGATGCTGAGGATTTTGGGGAGAGGGACCCCAGAACCCAGCACAGCTGTTAAAAAGAAAGGTAATCAGGCACAGTCAACATGGCCAAGAAGTGTCTGCATAACCAGCAGCCCCCTGCACTTGCAAGACTGGCCAAGTGTGTTAGCCCTCGAGACCTTGGTCCCTGCCTGGAGTGCATGCCCTTGCCCTGGCCTCCCTGGTGAGCACTGGGCCTCCTTTTCCCTGACACTGTTTGCCACATCAACTCCTTGTGAGGCTTCCTGGCCCCCAGCCCTTGGTATCTACCCCGCCCCACCCTGATCTTTGCCACCGTGGAAATAAATCACAACATATGAGCTCCCTATTTCTATACTTGCTGCCCCTAATCTGTGGTGCCTTGCTGTAAGGACTGTGTCCCCGGCACAGAGGGGAAAGCAAAGGCTTTCTGAGTGAAGGCAGCAGAGATGCATGAGGCCCCAACACATGGCTACCATAGGTTTATCATTTGGTTTCAGGTTGTCTAAGCCTAAGTAGACCTGGTGGCTAACCTTCTAGAAAGAAGGAAGAAGAAAGGAGGAAAGAAGGGAAGATAAGTGTGAAGGGAGGAGGATTGATAAAGTGAAGGTAAATAGAATTCTTGACCCCCAATGACTTTGTACAGAGTGAAGGGCATTGTGAATCTAACCACAAGATTATCTTCAATATTTCCCAGTCTTGATTTGCCATGGATCCCTTTCTTCAGGGCATTTGGTGGACTAATGTTTTACAGGACCCAGTTTGGGAACTTCTAGTCCAATCTCTCCACTTTTGTTTTTGTTTTTTGGGGAGGTTGTTGTGGCGGATTGAACTCAGGACCTTGAGCTTGCCAGGCAGGCACTTACACCACTGAGCTATCTCCCCAGCCCCAGTTTCTCACTTTTGAAAGAGATAGACTGCACTTCAGTGAGATGGAAGGACTTTCCCCAGGTGCACACAGCTTCTTAGTGACGAAGCCAGGCTAAGAGCCTCAGTCTCTTGCCTCCCAGGTCCGCCATCCCAGCTCCTGATACCACATCACCCGCTGGAGAACATGCATGGGCTTTGTGACAAGCCCTTTCTCTCTGCTGCTGAGACTCAGCCTCCTCTGGTGATGAGCCCCTAAATAAGGGTCAGCTTGGCATCAAGGACTCGCCAAAGGTATGGCTGGTAACATTAGCTAGGAGCCAGCCCCCTGGTCCCCAAGCCATCTGCCCTTGAAAGCCAAGGGCACCCACACTTACCATTCATTGCAGGCATAAATGCCAGGTCAAAAATCTTCTCAACCAGCACCTCCAAGAGGCTCACCTGTGGGGAAAGAATGAAGACTAAATCCAGGCAGGGGAACGAGTGACTCAGCCTACAAGAGGGCTCTTGGGACCTGTCCCCGGAGTCCAAGATGAGAACCCCACATCACTGTGGGAGAGACTGGGATCTCTGGCCAGCAGAGCCTGAGCCCCAAAAGCTCTCAGCTGACAATCAGGGGCACCTGTCACTGTACAGCTGGGGAGGCTGAGGCTCAGAGGGTCTACCACTGGGGCCAACCCTTTGGACCTCGCACTCTGGCCAACCCAGCCAGCCTCATAAGGATGCCATTCCCAGTCCATCTACCTGGCCTCTGTTCTGAGGGGAGCTTTCCCTACTGCCTGAAAGTGGTACTTACATCAAAGTTGCCCACATTTGAGGTTCTAAGGTTGAGGTTGGTCCTATAGATAAAGGAAACAGCCCATTAGAAGGAGTGACCCCTGAAAATCACAGGACATTTGTATTTCAGCCAAACTATTAGAAGCTGCCTAACAACATCCTCTGGAAGACCCACATCTTGAGGGAGTTTGTAAGGACAATGCTGGCCTCCACCTCCTGAGCACTATGTGACAGATGTGATGCTAAGGGCTTTCCACACATGCAAGGCTGTAGACATCACCACCTGCTGTGTGGCATGCCTGGAACCTGCAGTCTCTGCTGCTGCGCTATTCTGAGCAGGGAGGCCTGGCCTCGAGGTCCTGTTCTGCTCTGTGGCAGTCTCAGCCTCACTGTGCCTAGATCTTACCAGGGGTAGAAAGTTACTGGGGCCACCCAAAAGGATCAGTTCAGTGTCCAGCCCTATGGACACAAAGGAGCCTCCATTTAGCTGTATCTTATTCCTCCCTGAACTCTCACTCCTTTTCCAAATGCCCGCTGTCTTCGCTAACCCTGCCCATACTGCCTTCCCTGCCGAAGCCCCAGCTCTTCCTGCGGCTGCTCCTCCTCCTTTGGGCCTCAGGCTGCGCACTATTTCCACAGAAACTCCTGCTCCTCCTGCCCTTCCTCCTCCTCTTCCTGTGGCAAATACCAGCGCATGAGTCTCCCTATTGTTGGGCTTAATAAAAGTTTGTTGTAAAAGGAAGATCTTACATTCACTTAAGTATGTGCCAGATACCTGACTCATGATCTCATTAATGGAAAGAAGGAGAGTACTTCTTTTTATAAGTTGATGTCAAGAATTAAGTGAAGCAATGTCTAGAATTTAGTTCAATGCCTGATACACAGAAGGCATCTAATAAATAGTAGCTACTATTTTTATGAATCTTATGAAGTAGGAGCTATTGTCTCCATTTTCAGATGAGAAGACAGAGTCAGCCAGGCAGTCACCTGGGCAACATCACGCAAACAGCTGGAGGCCACACCAAGATTTGAACCCATACTGCCAGACTCTAAAGCCAGTGCTGGTAGCCACCCAGTACAGCAGGGCACACAGACCTGGGTCAGCTCCCAGTCCCTCTCTGCGCTTGCTATGTGCTTTGAATAAGTAAATCCACTTCTCTAAGCTGTCAATTCTTCATCTTCAAAAAAGCAGCAAAACAGCTCTGACTTTACAGATCCTTCTGGAGGGCACAACGTATGACAAGGACCGAGAGCAGAGCCTGATACAGTCCCATCACCAGCAGCATGATTATTATTGATGCCGCTGCTGCTGGAAGGAAGTTCTTTCTGTTCAGTCCATGGCTTGACCACCATGGCTGGCTCCTGATACGGTGTCAGCAGGCACAGGCCATTTTTACCTTTGCAGCCCTGACAAGCATTCAGGAGGCCTCTAATGCCTCCCTGGTGGCCCACTAATCCTTCCCTGGATGTGAGCCAGCCGGCCACAACCACAGCCACAGCAGCACCCAAGGCAGAAAACCCCCTTACTTGTCCAGCTTGGTGTCAATCATCAGCTTATCCCCTTCCACAGAAAATGAGGCCAAGAGGTCGGTGTCCTGGAGGGAAGGAGAAGGAGAAAGAAACATCGCGGCCATCATACAAGGCCACTGTGGCTGAGAGGGCTTACTGTGAGCCTGATGCTGAGCCTGAGTCCAGAAGGCTGTGCCATGCCTGAGACCCTGTCCATGCCTCCTTGTACTTGTATAAGCAGGAAGCTTGCAATAGCACTTGCTGTGTATTATTAGATCTCTCCACCAAGGGAAGGGTCAGCAATAACAAGCAGCCAACATTCACTATTGTTTACGAGTAAGCCACAGAATGGGCTGGGTAAACAGACATTTCTTGGGAAGCCAAATGCCACAGGACTCCCCTGCTTGGCACTGGGGATGTTTACCAAGACTCTCTGAGATGCCTTAGAGAAGAAAATGAGGTGGCTTCCAGCCTATGAAACTTTCTCTAGGTGAGACATCGCAGATGGAATTGGGCATTATGGCTGTCAATCATAACTGCCCCACATCCTAGAAGGTGGAAAGGGTCCAGACTCATCCCTGTCTTCCAGTAGAGATTTTTTTTTTCAGAACCAGGGATTGAACTCAGACCGTTGTGCTTGCCAGGGAAGCACTTATTCTACTGAGCCATCTCCTCGGCCCCCCAGCAGAGATTTTGAAGGAAAATTGTTTTTGTTTCCTTGGCCCACATCTCATTTCATCTCATCTCATCTCATCTCATCTGATTTCATTTCATTTAAAAATTAGCCTTATGAAAATAAAGTGAAGCTCCCAACAAATTCAAAAATAGTATTAGTAACAATAACAAAGATTGGCTTGAAACAGAAGAGCTGAGGTCCTCAGGTCAGCGAGATAGCTCAGCGGACTAAAGCACCTGCTTAGGTACGCTTACGCAGGCACAGGGACCACAGTTTGATCCCCTGCACCACAGGCTATGTCAGCTCTGCCCCCAGGGGGGGCTGAGCTGGCCAGTGTCTGGGCCATAGTGGCACATGCCTGTAATCCAGCACGGGGAGACTAAAAGCAGGAGGATCGCCATGAGTTCGAGCTGCATAGTGAGACCTGCAGCAACCATACACATAGAAAAAGGAGGAGGAGGAGGAGGAAGGGGGAGGAGGAAGAGGAAGGGGAAGAGGAAGAGGAAGAAGAAGAAGAAGAAGAAGAAGAAGAAGAAGAAGAAGAAGAAGAAGAAGAAGAAGAAGAAGAAGAAGAAGAAGAAGAAGAAGAAGAGGAAGGGGAA